AAGGCAGTTAGCCTGGGTACCAGTCTCTTTAGCTAATCCACTCCCTGTTCTCCATGTCATGTGCCAAACCCTCTTTGGCAATGACAAGGAGTGGCAAGGAGTGTAATGTTAGCTAAAGGGACTGGTACTCAGACTAGAAGGCAGTCGGGAGGAGGCAAGATCAGGTGGGACCATTCTAGCCAATGAGAGGGCAGATACGCGTTTGAACAACAGGCACAACTCAGATACAGTGCATTCGGAAAGTATTCAGACCCCTTGACTTTTTCCACATTTTGTTACGTTACAGCCTTATTCTAAAATTGATTTTTTTTTTTCAGCAATCTACACACAATACCCCATAATTACAAAGTGAAAACAGGTTACATAAGTATTCAGACCCTTTGCTATGAGACTCGAAATTGAGCTCAGGTGCATCCTGTTTCCATCGATCATCCTTGAGATGATTCTTCAACTTGATTGGAGTCCACCTGTGGTAAATTCTATTGACTGGACATGATTTGGAAAGGCACACACCTGTCTATATAATGTCCCACAGTTGACAGTGCATGTCGGAGCAAAACCCAAGCCATGAGGTCGAAGGAATTGTCCGTAGAGCTCAGAGACTAGGATTGTGTCGAGGCACAGATCTGGGGATGGGTAACAAAACATTTCTGCAGCATTGAAGGTCCCCAAGAACACAGTGGCCTCCATCATTATTAAATGGAAAAAGTTTGGAACCACCAAGACTCTTCCTAGAGCTGGCCGCCCGGCCAAACTGCGCAATCGGGGGAGAAGGGCCTTGGTCAGGGAGGTGACCAAGAACCTGATGGTCACTCTGACAGAGCTCTAGAGTTCCTCTGAGGAGATGGTTGTCCTTCTGGAAGGTTCTCCCATCTCTGCAGCACTCCACCAATCAGGCTTTTATGGTAGAGTGGCCAGACGGAAGCCCCTCCTCAGTAAAAGGCACATGACAGCCTGCTTGGAGTTTGACAAAAGGCACCTAAAGACTCTCAGACCATGAGAAACAAGATTCTCTGGTCTGATGAAACCAAGATTGAACTCTGTGGCCTGAATGCCAAGCGTCACATCTGGAGGAAACCTTGCACCATCCCTACGGTGAAGCATGGTGGTGGCAGCATCATGCTGTGGGGTTGTTTTTCAGCGGCAGGGACTGGGAGACTAGTCAGGATCGAGGCAAAGATGAACGGAGCAAAGTACAGAGAGATCCTTCATGAAAATAGCTGTAAAGCAACGCTCCCCATCCAACCTGACAGAGCTTGAGAGGATCTGCAGAGAAGAATGGGAGAAACTCCCCAAATACATGTAAAGAAAATGTTTTGTCATTTTAGCAGACGCTCTTATCCAGAGCGACTTACAGTTAGTGAGTGCATACATTTTTTATACTGGCCCCCCGTGGGAAACGAACCCACAACCCTGGCGTTGCAAGCGCCATGCTCTACCAACTGAGCTTGTAGCGTCATACCCAAGAAGACTCGAGGCTGTAATTGCTGTCACATTATGTAAATGTATTATTTATGTTTTTTTTTTTTTTATACATTTGCAAAACTTTCTAAAAACCTGTTTTTGCTTTGTCATTATGGGGTATTGTGTGTAGATTGATGAGGGGAAAAAACTATTTAATCCATTTTAGAATAAGGCTGTAACGTAACAAAATGTGGAAAAACGTCAAGGGGTCTGAATACTTTCCGAATGCACTGTATATATATATATATTTTTTTTATTAAGCGTATTCAATTACACCGATTGGCCAGATGGTAGCGCTATAACAAGAGATTGAAAATGCAAACTTTGAAAGGTCACGCCCCTCACCCCGTTTGACCAAAAATCACGAAATTCTGTACATAGGTCCCTCTCCTTACAAGGAACAAATTTGCCTCAGTAATTCATAAGGTCTGCCATGATGGATTTTTCACCATTTAGAATTTTGTGAAAAACACTTACAACGCTACTCTTCTGGAACCAAATGACCGATCTGCATGAAACTTGATAGGTGGCATCTATGGACAAAGGTCTCTCAACACTAGTACCTAAAACAACATTGACCAATAAACATTCACGTGGGCGTGGTCTGGCACATAAATGCATATAAATCAGTGAAGGATATTCGTATTGTAACAAAATTTGGTACACATGTTGCAAACACTGTCAAGACTCAACATATGCAAGAACATTCATATCGACCTCACGGTGGCGCTATAATGGGCACATGTTTATATCTCTTGATCTGTTTGACTCAGAGTGATGGAATTTGGCACAGATGCTCAGGGATATTTTTTTTTATTAGGGATCCCTAACTAACCCACGTGATATCTAAGACACCACTGGCCCGATTTTGACTAAACTTGGGTGAATGATGCGTCTTGCCATAGAGATCCGGCATTTACAAAATTAGTAATCAACTGTACATACGTTAGTCACACGTAATATCTCAGACACCATTTTGATACACTGATTGGCCGAAGGGGGGCCCTGCATCATTTGTGAGGGATGACATGTTTACTGCTGCCTTGTTCTATTGACACGTTCAAAACAACTGGGAACTGGGAACTGGGAACCTTATCAAAATATGACTAATTCAATATTGCACCATCCCATTCTCTGGGCTCTGTCTGCAATCATAATCAATCACACAAATGTATTTATAAAGCCCTTTTTACATCAGCAGATGTCACAAAGTGCTAACCAGTAGTATATACCAGGAATAATGAAACCTAGAATAATAATAGATGTTTGGTGAATCTATGAATTATGTAGTGGTCCTCTGTAGCTCAATTGGTAGAGCATGGCGCTTGTAACGCTAGGGTAGTGGGTTCGATCCCCGAGACCACCCACACGTAAGAATGTATGCACGCATGACTGTAAGTCGCTTTGGATAAAAGCGTCTGGTAAATGGCATATTATGTATGACCACTGGAATCTTTGCCACTGAAAATATTTCTTTCATCACTCAAAATCTTGCCAAAGCATATTCTGTAGGAGGGTTTAATATGAATTTAAAATAATTTGACATGATTTATATGAATAGGGTCATGAACATATCGACTCTGAAATGAACAAGGGAGAGGTTAAACGTAGGCTAAGTCTGGCATAAGCTTATTCCCACTCTTTACAATAACTCTGTTGCAGTGGTCTTAGGTAGTGTCCGTATAGGCTATTCCCTCCATCGCGACACTGCTGCCCAGTTGAAGAGCTTGTGATCTCCATGCAGCACCACAGCACCATGCGCCTTCGGAAAAGTACTCCTCAGCCTCAAAAGATGCCCTTCTGGAGGCATGCAGTCATAGAGTCATTATACCTTAATGTAGGCCTATTTGCCTACTAGCCAAATAAAGTGCAGAGCATGCATGATGCGAACATTTAATTCATCCTTCATTCAGTTCAGTCAGTATGTCATCCATTCAGTCATTTGTCTGAGTTGCAATAGGAATTAAATTAAATCAAAGAGAATAGAACAGTCTTATGCATTTGTTTATTGAAATCCATGTGTATTCAAAATTATCTAAATTCTCCAAAGTTCTTTAGCCTATCACTTTAATAATTCAATGTTTAATTTAGGCAACAAAAAAACAGGCCTTCAACTTGTAGGCATTGCAATTTAGGCTATCATTTTGGGTACTGGTGTCTTGTGGAATAATTTTAGAACTCTATTTATGTTTTATAACTGTTTTTATTATAGGGCTCCCCTTAAAATGAGGCCCTAGCTCACAGGCCTCTAAACATAGCCTCTAAATAAATGTTTAACAAAATAGTTGAAGAAGCATGTGCAGTGGCTGATAGGGAAAACAGATCTGGCAATACGAATAGGCTATAGATAGTCTTGACCATTTGGGACCCCTTGGCTATTTTGCTCAGGACAGGTTATAGCCAAGACTTAATCAATATTTTGTTTTGTCTCATTTATTGATATGGATATAGCCTCTGCGTGATGGGGTTGTGCACCGCAAATGGCTAATACAAGCCTACATTCAGAGTGGAATTCACTAATACAACAGTCAAAATGCCTAATATAAAGGCTCCCAAATACTGGAAAAAGTGTGATTCATCAGGTTACATGATCACCACAATTCATTATGCAATTATATGGCCATTAAATAACACAACAGCATGGCATATTTAGATAGCGAAATAGGCCTGGCCTAAATCATATTTACTTTCTATTTTGCAGCTCAGGCGGTTATTCTAGACAAGGCTCTTCTGTGTCTTTCTCATTCTCACACAAGTAATTTGCTGAAGGCCCAAGCCTCCTGAGTGGCGCAGTGGTTTAAGGCACTGCATTGCAGTGCTAGCTGTGCCACTAGAGATATTGGTTTGAATCCAGGCTCTGTTGTAGCCGGCCGCTAACGGGAGACCCAGGGGGCAGTGCACAATTGGCCCAGTGTCATCCAGGGGAGGGGAGGGAATGGCCGGCAGGGATGTAGCTCAGTTGGTAGAGCATGGCGTTTGCAACGCCAGGGTTGTGGGTTTGATTCCCACAGGGGGCCAGTGTGAAAAAAAATAAAAATAATGTATGCACTCACTAACTGTAAGTTGCTCTGGATAAGAGCGTCTGCTAAAATAAATAAATAATAATATACTACGTCATCTACTGGTATAAAGTCGTTATTGAATGCAGTTCTAAAACAAGCTCTAGACTTTTATTTTGGAAATGAAACCGGAAGCTGCATAGCAACTCTAACGTCTGGGCAAGAGTTGCTTGATTGACTAACTAACTTCGACTAGCTACGTTCGGTTCATATCCTTTGCAGATGCCACATTACTGACAAAAGTTTGTATGCATAAAAAAGATATGTAACCGAGTAAAGGGTGAGGTAAAGTAAGAAATGAACAGATCTATTTTAACATTTACGTTGCATCTTTCACGCATCTCTTTTCTTATGATCCTAACAATTTATGTTTGTATTTTCTTACGATCCTAACGATACGTGCGTTCAACCTTTCGGCAGGTATCTGGCTCCATAAGCGTGCACCGACGATACAGACAGGCAGGGAGAAACGTCAGTCAGATAATAGACAGTAGATGCTCGCTACTACCATTGGCTACTAACAAAGACTGTACAGTTTAGAAGCTGCTACTAGTATACACTACATGGGAAGGAAGGGAGCTACTAGATAGGCTACGACGGCTAGGAAGGTGGCAGAGACGCTGTGAATGTTTACTGTTTTTAATCGATTTCAGAGCGATTTAACCACATAACCAAAGAATATTACAATACAGAAGGGTTTCACGCATATTTGTGAGGATATATCACCGGAAGAAGATGGGTAGCTGCCTTACAGTTGGACCAAATGAAGCCGTGGTTGTCTCTGGTAGGTATCCCCCGTGCATGCTAGCTAGGAAGCTAAAGTAGCTAGCTTGCTAGCCAACAAGCTTAATTGTTAATATATGGTTATTTTGTTAACCTATTCGTTTACCAACGGTTTTCAGTTAATGTATAGCTATCTAGTTAATTAAACGGTCATTGCATTGGTTTTTCTCGATGGATAAACAACATAACAAATCATATCGCTTCACTAACGTTAGCTAGGTTGTTACTAGCCCTTGATCATGTCTCTCAGTTCTATTACGTTAACGTTGTCATTGGACGAAGGCGTCTTCTGTGGGAGAGTTTTGTTATCTGCAAGTTTTTTTTTTCTGTATGGGGAGTTTTGTTAAGAGTAACGCTCAGTCTGAACATTAACACGCATTGCTTGCGGTATGATTTTGGAAGCATAAGGACCTTATCTTTCATATCTGAGAAACCATTTTCAAAAAACAAAATGTTAAATTGATACACAACTTTTTATAGGGTTAGTGTTCCCACACAGCCATATCTCCATGTTACAGCACGTGTTTATGTTTATGGAAGACAGAGGGACCACCTGTACTAAATTAGCTAGCATGCTCCGAACACCTGCTTTGTGTAACCAAAGAAGGCCGCCGGATATGGAACGCCGTTTGGGTCTTTGCGTGTCAAAAAAGATACACGTCAAATAACACTATTTGACGTGTCAAATAAGCTTGTTGACCAATCAGGACCACATAACAATTTAACACGTTCATACATTTGTTACGTAGTTATTACACATTGATTACACGATCACTCGTATTTCATATGTCACAACGACTCATCGATACGTATGCTATGATGCTGGTAAAGTTGTCTCTCGCACCTGCCGTTCCCTAAGCTCTGGAAAGTGCTGGTCATAAAAAAAGCTAGTTGATGGATGCGAACAATGTTCTTCGCCTAAAACATAGCAAAACGACAATCTGTTTCAGTAGCTATAGTTAACTATCTAGCTAGGTGTCATCATTTTAAATTCCCCTAATTTATAATGGTGGTCGGACCCACCTATGTGAAACTCGCTACAATAAGGATTAGCCACCAGGCAGGTCAAAACGCCATCCCACCAAAACTGGCAGAAATTTCAAGCAGTCTTTTAAAACAGCTCAACTAAGAAGGCATTATCATAATTTTCTCAATTTCACAGTATTATTCCAACCTCATAGTGTATAAAGATTGAGCTCCTGTTCCTCTTAAAGCATATTAGCTCAAAAGTATTGTGGAGCTCCTGCACCTAAATATAAACAGTACCAGCACCCAAAATGAGTACCGGAACCTATTTCAGTCCAAGTCAAGCACTGATAAGAAGTAATCAGGTAGGCCTATTTTATGACGTTTCCACTGGATCAGAGCATGACATTTTTCGCTTTCACGCTGAGTGATTATCGAAACGGGAGAGAGCTGGTAAGATTTTTCAGGTAGCCTATAGGCCTACTTCTATGCGTGCGTGTCCTTACTCAACATTGACAGGAGCGCTCCAAACAAAAGACAATGACTATATTGACAAAACTCGTAAATGGAATAAAATAAACCAAAACTTGTTTCTCACGAATGTAGCGTAGGTTGTGCACTCTGCAAACAATGTGTCCACTCAGACAATGAGAACGGGATGACTGGAATAATAATATTGAATGCATTAAAATATTTACCGTGACCAAAGTAACAAACATTGTAGATTAGAAATTATAGGAATGAACGGTAAATGTACTACTGATGATATATGTAATGGGGAATTGATATATACTAACAATCAAATGCAAACAATTCACACAATGAAGATATGAAACAATGAATGTGCACAAATTGGTGGGAGAGAGCGTATTCTGGAGAGAGAAGTGCATTGTGCATCTGGGTGCATGGTCAATTCAACGTCTGCATTGGCCATGCATCATTTACGGTGATATGGCCTCAGCAGAAGTCAGGGCATTCATACTTCTTTCACTTCACGGAGCAGTGCAGAGCTGTTGTCAAGGAAGTGAGTTTGTGTTTATACAGGATGTACCGCCCCCACCAATCATGTCAATGCGGAGCTATACAGAGCCCTCCGCATTGTTACAAAATTTGGGAGGCGCATCTGTACAGAGCTCGATTTGGCCTCTGGACGCTCCGCAATTGCGTCAGACCCTCCATTTTGAGCCTCGGACCACATTTTCGGATCAAGCATTAATTGGCTTTTTCCGTAATAGATTAGTTCACTGAGATGGTCGCATATATATATATATATATATATATATATATATATATATATATATATATATATACTGCTCAAAAAAATAAAGGGAACACTAAAATAACACATCCTAGATCTGAATGAATGAAATAATCTTATTAAATACTTTTTTCTTTACATAGTTGAATGTGCTGACAACAAAATCACCCAAAAATTATCAATGGAAATCAAATGTATCAACCCATAGAGGTCTGGATTTGGAGTCACCCTCAAAATTAAAGTGGAAAACCACACTACAGGCTGATTCAACTTTGATGTGATGTCCTTAAAACAAGTCAAAATGAGGCTCAGTAGTGTGTGTGGCCTCCACGTGCCTGTATGACCTCCCTACAACGCCTGGGCATGCTCCTGATGAGGTGGCGGATGGTCTCCTGAGGGATCTCCTCCCAGACCTGGACTAAAGCATCCGCCAACTCCTGGACAGTCTGTGGTGCAACGTGGCGTTGGTGGATGGAGCGAGACATGATGTCCCAGATGTGCTCAATTGGATTCAGGTCTGGGGAACGGGCGGGCCAGTCCATAGCATCAATGCCTTCCTCTTGCAGGAACTGCTGATACACTCCAGCCACATGAGGTCTAGCATTGTCTTGCATTAGGAGGAACCCAGGGCCAACCGCACCAGCATATGGTCTCACAATGGGTCTGAGGATCGCATCTCGGTACCTAATGGCAGTCAGGCTACCTCTGGCGAGCACATGGAGGGCTGTGCGGCCCCCCAAAGAAATGCCACCCCACACCATGACTGACCCACCGCCAAACCGGTCATGCTGGAGGATGTTGCAGGCAGCAGAACGTTCTCCACGGCGTCTCCAGACTCTGTCACGTCTGTCACATGTGCTCAGTGTGAACCTGCTTTCATCTGTGAAGAGCACAGGGCGCCAGTGGCGAATTTGCCAATCTTGGTGTTCTCTGGCAAATGCCAAACGTCCTGCACGGTGTTGGGCTGTAAGCACAACCCCCACCTGTGGACGTCGGGCCCTCATACCACCCTCATGGAGTCTGTTTCTGACCGTTTCAGCAGACACATGCACATTTGTGGCCTGCTGGAGGTCAATTTGCAGGGCTCTGGCAGTGCTCCTCCTGCTCCTCTTTGCACAAAGGCGGAGGTAGCAGTCCTGCTACTGGGTTGTTGCCCTCCTACGGCCTCCTCCACGTCTCCTGATGTACTGGCCTGTCTCCTGGTAGCGCCTCCATGCTCTGGACACTACGCTGACAGACACAGCAAACCTTCTTGCCACAGCTCGCATTGATGTGCCATCCTGGATGAGCTGCACTACCTGAGCCACTTGTGTGGGTTGTAGACTCCGTCTCATGCTACCACTAGAGTGAAAGCACCGCCAGCATTCAAAAGTGACCAAAACATCAGCCAGGAAGCATAGGAACTGAGAAGTGGTCTGTGGGTCGACCCACCAGTCCTTTATTGGCGGGTGGTTTCCTTGCTAATTGCCTATAATTTCCCAAACCTGTGTATTCCATTGCACACAGCATTTGAATTCACTTGTCCAGTGTTGCAGTTTCCTAAGTTGAACAGTTTGTATTTCACGAAGTTTATTGACTTGAGTACATTGTGTTTTAGTGTTCCCTTTTTTTTTTGACGTGTAATACAGTGGGAGACAGTATTGTACACTTGCCGATGGCTACATAGTTTCTGGAATCTAAAACAAAAATCCAGAAAATTCATTTGCATTTTATTGCATGACATAAGTATTTGATCACCTACCAACCAGTACGAATTCCGGCTCTCACAGACCTGTTAATTTTTCTTTAAGAAGCCCTCCTGTTCTCCACTCATTACCTGTATTAACTGCACCTGTTTGAACTCATTACCTGTATAAAATACACCTGTCCACACACTCAATCAAACAGACTCCAACCTCTCCACAATGGCCAAGACCAGAGAGCTGTGTAAGGACATCAGGAATAAAATTGTAGACCTGCACAAGGCTGGGATGGGCTACAGGACAATAGGCAAGCAGCTTGGTGAGAAGGCAATAACTGTTGGCGCAATTATTAGAAAATGGAAGAAGTTCAAGATGACGGTCAATCACCCTCAGTCTGGGGCTCCATGCAAGATCTCACCTCGTGGGGCATGAGGAAGGTGAGTGATCAGCCCAGAACTACACGGCAGGACCTGGTCAATGACCTGAAGAGAGCTGGGACCACAGTCTCAAAGAAAACCATTAGTAACACACTACGCCGTCATGGATTAAAATCCTGCAGCGCACACAAGGTCCCCCTGCTCAAGCCAGCGCATGTCCAGGCCCGTCTGAAGTTTGCCAATGACCATCTGGATGATCCAGAGGAGGAATGGGAGAAGGTCATGTGGTCTGACGAGACAAAAATAGAGCTTGTTGGTCTAAACTCCACTCGCCGTGTTTGGAGGAAGAAGAAGGATGAGTACAACCCCAAGCACACCATCCCAACCGTGAAGCATGGAGGTGGAAACATCATTCTTTGGGGATGCTTTTCTGCAAAGGGAACAGGACGACTGCACCGTATTGAGGGGAGGATGGATGGGGCCATGTATCGCGAGATCTTGGCCAACAACCTCCTTCCCTCAGTAAGAGCATTGAAGATGGGTCGTGGCTGTGTCTTCCAGCATGACAATGACCCGAAACACACAGCCAGGGCAACCTAAGGAGTGGCTCCGTAAGAAGCATTTCAAGGTCCTGGAGTGGCCTAGCCAGTCTCCAGACCTGAACCCAATAGAACATCTTTGGAGGGAGCTGAAAGTCCGTATTGCCCAGCGACAGCCCCGAAACCTGAAGGATCTGGAGAAGGTCTGTGTGGAAGAGTGGGCCAAAATCCCTGCTGCAGTGTGTGCAAACCTGGTCAAGACCTACAGGAAACGTATGAACTCTGTAATTGCAAACAAGGGTTTCTGTACCAAATATTAATTTCTGCTTTTCTGATGTATCAAATACTTATGTCATGCAATAAAATGCAAATTAATTACTTAAAAATCATACAATGTGATTTTCTGGATTTTTGTTTTAGATTCCGTCTCTCACAGTTGAAGTGTACCTATGATAAAAATGACAGACCTCTACATGCTTTGTAAGTAGGAAAACCTGCAAAATTGGCAGTGTATCAAATACTTGTTCTCCCCACTGTGTGTGTGTGTGTAGATGTATATATATATATTTATATACACAGTACCAGTCAAATGTTTGGACACACCTACTCATTCAAGGGTTTTTCTTTATTTTTGCTATTTTCTACATTGTAGAATAATAGTAAAGACATCAAAACTATGAAATAACACACATGGAATCATGTAATAACCAAAAAAGTGTTAAACGAATCCAAATACATTTTATAATTGAGATTCTTCAAATACCCACCCTTTGCCTTGATGACCGCTTTTCACACTCTTGGCGTTCTCTCAACCAGCTTCACCTGAAATGCTTTTCCAACAGTCTTGAAGGAGTTCCCACATATGCTGAGCACTTGTTGGCTGCTTTTCCTTCAATCTGCTGTCTGACTCATCCCAAACCATCTCAATTGGGTTGAGGTCGGGGGATTGTGGAGGCCAGGTCATCTGATGCAGCACTCCATCACTCTCCTTCTTGGTAAAATAGCCCTTACACAGCCTGGAGGTGTGTTGGGTCATTGTCCTGTTGAAAAACAAATGATATTCCCAATTAAGCCCAAACCAGATGGGATGGCGTATCGCTGCAGAATGCTGTGGTAGCCATGCTGGTTAAGTGTGCCTTGAATTCTAAATAAATCACAGAGAGTGTCACCAGCAAAGCACCCCCAAACCATAACACCTCCTACTCCATGCTTTATGGTGGGAACTACACATGCGGAGATCATCCGTTCACCCACACTGCGTCTCACAAAGACACGGAGGTTGGAACCAAAAATCTCAAATTTGGACTCTAGAGCAAAGGACACATTTCCACCGGTCTAATGTCCATTGCTTGTGTTTCTTGGCCCAAGCAGGTCTCTTCTTATTATTGGAGACCTTTAGTAGTGGTTTCTTTGCAGCAGTTTGACCATGAAGGCCTGATTCACACAGTCCCCTCTGAACAGTTGATGTTGATATGTGTCTGTGACTTGAACTCTGTGAAGCATTTATTTGGGCTGCAATTTCTGAGGCTGGTAACTCTAATGAACTTATCCTCTGCAGCAGAGGTAACTCTGGGTCTTCCATTCCTGTGGCGGTCCTCATGAGAGCCAGTTTCATCATAGTGCTTGATGGCTTTTGCGACTGCACTTGAAGAAACTTTCAAAGTTCTTGAAATGTTCCGAATTGACTGACCTTCATGTCTTAAAGTAATGATGGACTGTCGTTTCTCTTTGCTTATTTGAGCTGTTGTTGCCATAATATGGACATGGTCTTTTACCAATAAGAGATATCTTCTGTATACCCCCTCTACCTTGTCACAACACAACTGATTGGCTCAAACGCATTAAGAAGAAAATAAATTCCACAAATTAACTTTTAAGAAGGCACACCTGTTAATTGCAATGCATTCCAGGTGACTACCTCATTAAGCTGGTTGAGAGAATGCCAACTTTGGAAGTATGCTTGGGGTCCTTGTCCATTTGGAAGACCCATTTGCGACCAAGCTTTAACTTCCTTACTGATGTCTTGACATGTTGCTTCAATATATCCACATAATTTTCCTTCCTCACGATGCCATCTATTTTGTGAAGTGCACCAGTCCCTCCTGCAGCAAAGCACCCCCACAGCATGATGCTGCCACCCCCGTGCTTCACGGTTGGGATGGTGTTCTTCGCCTTGCAAGCCTCCACCTTTTTCCTCCAAACATAACGATGGTCATTATGGCCAAACAGTTCTATTTTTGTTTCATCAGACCAAAGGACATTTCTCCAAAAAGTACGATCTTTGTCCCCATGTGCAGTTGCAAACTGTAGTCTTGCTTTTTTATGGTGGTTTTGAAGCAGTGGCTTCTTCCTTGCTGAGCGGCCTTTCAGGTTATGTCGATGTAGGACTTGTTTTACTGTGGCTATAGATACTTTTGTACCTGTTTCCTCCAGCATTTTCACAAGGTCCTTTGCTGTTGTTCTGGGATTGATTTGCACTTTTATGACCAAAGTATGTTAATCTCTAGGAGACAGAACACGTCTCCTTCCTAAGCGGTATGACGGCTGTGTGGTCCCATGGTGTTTATACTTGCATACTATTGTTTGTACAGATGAACATGGTACCTTCAGGCGTTTGGAAATTGCTCCCAAGGATAAACCAGACTTGTGGTGGTCTATAATTTTTCTTCTGAGGTCTTGGCTGATTTCTTTTGATTTTCCCATGATGTCAAGCAAAGAGGCACTGAGTTTGAAGGTAGGCCTTGAAATGCATCCACAGGTACACCGCCAATTGACTCAAATGATGTCAATTAGCCTATCAGAAGCTTCTAAAGCCATGACATCATTTTCTGGAATTTTCCAAGGTACAAAAGTATCTATATCCACAGTAAAACAAGTTCTATATTGATGTAACCTGAAAGGCCGCTCAGCAAGGAAGATGACACTGCTCCAAAACCGCCATAAAAAAGCCAGACTACGGTTTGCAACTGCACATGGGGACAAAGATCTTATTTTTGGGAGAAATGTCCACTGGTCTGATGAAACAAAAATAGAACTGTTTGGCCATAATGACCATCGTTATGTTTGGTGGAAAAAAGGGATAGCTTGCAAGCCGAAGAACATGTATGTAAACTTCCGACTTCAACTGTATATACAGTGCTATGAAAAAGTATTTGCCTCCTTTCTAATTTTCTCTACTTTTGCATATTTGTGATACTGAATGTTATCAGATCTTCAACCAAAGCCTAATATTAGATAAAGGGAACATAAGTGAACAAATAAAACAACAATTACATATTTATTTCATTTATTCCATAAACAAAGTTACGCAACACCCAATTCCCCTGTGTGAAAAAGTAATTGCCCCCTTACACTCAATAACTGGTTGTGCCACCTTTAGCTGCAATGACTCCAACCAAATGCTTCCTGTAGTTGTTGATCAGTCTCTCACGTCGCTGTGGTGGAATTTTGGCCCGCTCTTCCATGCAGACCTGCTTTAACTCAGTGACGTGTGGGTTTTCAAGCATGATCTGCTCGTTTCAAGTCCTGCCACAACATCTCAATAGGCATTAGGTCTGGACTTTGACTAGGCCATTCCAAAACTTCCAATTTGTTGCTTTTTAGCAATTTTCATGTAGAATTGATTGTGTGTTTTGGATCATTTTCTTGCTGATGCCAGCTGCGCTCATTCTCCAAAATGTCGCATTTTGTTATTCTCATACGCTCTGTTCTTGGCAATTCCGGTCTTAGCAGACTCCCCTTTACATGTTTAGAATAGTGTTGGTTTCCAGGCATTACTGCTCGTGTTATACTGCTGCCATCAAATCTTCATAGTTGGCATAGTTGGCATTGACACTTTAGAGCCATTATCCTTGCGCTTTCAGCATCATCAGATGGTGTGTGGTTTTGGATCTGCTGCCTCGACCTGAGACTGGGATGGTCTGACATTTCCTGTATAATCTCTGATAGAGCAGAATTCATGGTTCCCTTGTACAGCAGCAAGTCCAACCATCGTCACTGAGCAGCAAAAGCAAAATTCAGAACCATCACACCAACCACCACCACTGGTTGACCTTGGAGTGATTCTCACTGTGGAATGCAGTGTTTGGTTTCGCCAGCATTACTGGGACAACCAGTGTCAATTACTTTTTGGGCAATTACTTTTTCACACAGGGGAATTGGGTGTTGCGCAACTTTGTTTATGAAATAAATATGTAATTGTTGTGTTATTTGTTCACTAATGTTCCCTTTATCTAATATTAGGTTTTGGTTGAAGATCTGATAACATTCAGTATCACAAATATGCAAAAGTAGAGAAAATTAGAAAGGGGGCAAATACTTTTTCATAGCACTGTGTGTGTGTGTGTGTGTTACTGCTCAACTAAAACAATCTCGGTCGACCAACAGCCTAACGACCAAACAATCGACCAGTCGACTAATTGGGGTCAGCCCTAAGCTAAATAATACCGACACTTCCATGTTTCGATTGGTTTAGTTACTACATCCCTATCCATGTACACTGTACTAGGATCCTCACTTAGCTACCAAGTGCAAGGCCAAGGGATTTCTGAGCTTGCAGGGGAATTATAAACAAGGCTATGTAATCATGTAGGCTACCCTCTATGAGTAGCCTATACCTACATGTTTTACATTTGGCCCTGTAGAAACCTAACTAGTGCATGGCAGCAAGACAAAGAAATTGTGGTAACAACTAAGAAGGTTTCAGACAAGGGTGTCAACTGAGCATCAATAATGAATGCTGGTGAATGATGGAGTCTTTCCCCAATTGAAATCTTGTGCCCCTGACTCACGCCTTGTCTGTTTCATTTCTCAGGTGCCTGTTGTGGCTCAGATGAGAAGACCTACATGGTGGGGGGCTGGGCCTGGGCCTGGTGGCTCATCACTGACGTTCAAAGGTGAGACCATTGATGATGATGTCATGGCATGCTATAGAATTGTCTTAATCTATCAGTCTATCAGCAATTATGGGTTGTTTTGCAAATGGTCTGGATGAGGCTTGTTTTATTTCTTCAATGGATAAATAATCCCACACGTTTCCATACAAATACTAAATTAGGTAAAAGGGCTGGCAAATGTTTAGAAACCGACAATTATTTATGGACGCATAAATAATGCGTCCATAAACAGGTTCTCCAACATCTTAGATTTCCACAATGATAGCCTATAATTCGCTAAACACACCAATCATCTGCGGCCTGACAATCAGCCAGGAGGTGCGTGCGTGAAATACTATTATTTTATTCTGTGCCACACTTTCCTGACTGACCTACATTGTGTTAATGAGTTCTGGATGTTTCAAATGGAAACATGGCAAGGGACACATTGCCCCACCTTCTTAAACTACAGTACACATTCACTCTTCTGCCTTCTTTCCCATGTGTCACTTGGCACAATTCTTACCCTTTTTCACAGTAGGTTAGGTGCTGTCCTCTGTTTATTAACTGACTGTAAGGCATTATCCCCTGGGTTTACATGAAAGCATGCAATGTTTTGTTTAGGATTTCTTCAGGTTATATTTGGCAGCTTTGCTCAATAGCCATTAACTAGTCACTAGTCGTTTGGGCCGTGTGTCAAGGAAGTGTGTGGCAATAGAGGTATTGATGCAGAGTGGTCCTCTGTAGCTCAAGTGGTAGAGCATGGCGCTTGTAACGCCAGGGTAGTGGGTTCGATCCCCGGGACCTTCCATACGTAAAAATGTATGCACACATGACTGTAAGTCGCTTTGGATAAAAGCGTCTGCTAAATGGCATATCATCATATCATATTATATCATATCAGAGCTTTTTTCTCCTTTGCCTGTTAAAGGGACAATCTGCAGTTGCTACATCCATTTTTGGACTTATACATAAATGATATGTACCCATTGATTCTTGTAGAATATCACTTATAAATGCCTCATGAGCTTAGTTCAACAGTCGTACCCCATCAGAACCCCAAATATAAGCTTGTTTTACTCCAATGTTTGTAAACAAAGTGAATGTACACAAACACTGTATAGCCTCAACATGGTTAAAACTATCATCTTGATATCATGGATGGTCAGTCCTTGCATCCATAGCTCTATGAATTTGAGTGGTTGCATTTCTACAGCCCCATCCCTTAGCTTTTTACTGAAACAGTGGGAAGAGAACATGTTGTTATTGTTTCAACTGCAGGTTGCCCCTTTAAGGTCTGCATTATCTAATATACTTTTTTTCCTCATATAGGATTACACTGGAGATTATGACACTCCAACCCAAGTGTGAGGATGTTGAGACTGCAGAGGGGGTCGCCATCACTGTCACTGGGGTGGCACAGGTAAAAATAAAATATAAAATAACCTGCTGGAAAGAGACTAGTCACCACCATGACATACCTCCATCGTTTGTCTTACAAAATGCGTTGTCAGTGAAAACAGTGCGAAAGTATGAAACGGACACCATTGAATTGGAAAATATGTCTTAACTATTTATAACTTTAACTGTTATTGATTTAATATCTCATTGTGGCAGACCAGTTTACAACTGCTGCTGTAGCTACTCCATGTACTGTAAGCTCTTTCTGTGTCACAGGACAGATTATGTTCTGAATATGCAAAATACATTCATGTAAACCAAGGACCAACTCCTTGTGTAAACTGACTTAAAGCCATAGATCAAGTTAAAGCACAGTGATTCGTATGTGCGTATGCAACCAGGCCACACTCTGTGTTTCTAACCCTCTCCTTCATCTCTTCTCCAGATCAAAGTGATGACAGATCATGATCTTTTGGCAATTGCTTGCGAGCAGTTTTTGGGCAAATCAGTCCCCGAAATCAAAGGAGTGGTTTTGCAAACCTTGGAAGGACATTTACGCTCAATTCTAGGTGAGGAGAATGTCTCCGAAGTGAAAATTATATTAGTCTATTATGGTCATCTGTTGATTTCAGTTGGCTGTTCTCAGCTTTGTTCTCTGTTAGCTGATGTAAATCAGTGGCTAAACCTCATTATACAGCGGGTGGGTCTAATCCTGGATGCTGATTGGTTAAAACCCATTCCAGCCGGTGTCTATTCCACAAGTTACCACCAGCTAAAGCTATGACGTTGAAATTTACTCTGTTCCATCTCACTGTGCAATCCACTGTCTCATCAGCCCAGCCAGGCAATTTATAAACTTGATCTCTACTATAAAAAGCATCTAGATATTATCTCCAATTTCTTTTAGACTAGTATATTCTTTCAACAGCAGAGATTTGTATAAACCTTGCCGTCTGTCTCTCCGACATTTGCAACATTGTTTCAATATTGAAATTCGATCTCCAGCTGTCCCATAGTAATGCACGTGTCAGGACGAGAAAGGCAGGCAGCTTTTCTCAGCCAGTGGAAATCATGAATCAGCTGCCATCATTTTTATTAATATAGAGGTATACAAAGAAATGTCAATAGAAAACAGGTAAAACAAAAAAGAAATGCAGCTAGTTTGCTCTTTCCAGCTTCAATTTGAAGTGATTTTGTTATCTGTGTTGTTGGCTAGCTCCTCTGAACAACAGTGTCCTGACGAAAGAGCACATTTTCTATGCCAGGCGAAATCGAACATCATTAGCTCATTGTTATGGATGTATCCAAAGAAATGTCACTAGAAAACAGCTTAAACAAACGCAACTGCAGCTACCTTACTGTTATTCTGGCTGCACTGTTTGACGTGACTGTAAGTGAGCCATAGTTGGCTAGCTAGCAAGCAAGGGATAAGAATGTTGCCAGCCAGTATGGCAATGGAACATTTCGAACGAACGACTGGGTCGCGTCCATAGATACAGAACAAAAAGGCTTAACAACTGGGTCGCGGCTCTGGCAGCTGAACTGATAGAACAAACGACCAGCCGGCTTGGGTAGCAACCTTAGATATGTGTCGGACTATATCTTGCGGAAGGATGAAATAGTATGAATAAATTCATCAAAATAAGGTTTTTAATAAAAATATGTCAATCATTATTTGAATATGTTGGAAGCCGGTGTTTGGAGGATATATTGGCACGGTTTGCTGGCCCTCGATGAATATATCCTCCAAACACCGGCTTCTCTGGCATTATCACTTAAGCGTCTCACACACACACATGCTTTTTGCTGATGGGTAGTTTTTCAAACAGTCTGTTCAAGCTTTGTACTAAATATAGCATGTCTAAATTAAAATTATTTAGAAAAATGTAGAAATGACAGTCAATGTAATGAAATCCTGAATGTGTGAAAGGGTAACTTCTAAAACAACAAACATGAAATCCAAGAATATACAGACTGCACTATTGAAAAGTAAACGTTATATGTTCTGTATTATGAGCTTTTATCATGTTTTACTAGATGATGATGACGACTTTATAGATCTATGTGTTTTTAACAATGCATTTTTTCTTTGTAAATACCCATGAATTTCAGTGATTATTTGACTACCATGTGGGATAGCCTTAATAAAGTAAAGTCAGTAAGTGAAGTAGGTCTATATCCAGTGTTGTAGAGAGACTGACAGGCTCTGCTGCTCTCCCCTCTATACAGGCACACTGACAGTGGAGCAAATCTACCAGGACAGGGACAAGTTTGCCCAGCTGGTGAGGGAGGTGGCAGCTCCCGATGTGGGCAGGATGGGCATCGAGATCCTCAGCTTCACTATCAAGGTGAGTTTGTTGGGAGTGCCATGAAGTTGTGGAGGGTAAATGTTGTTGTTTTTTGCCTTTGCTGTGTTTGTTATCCTATGGCATTTTAATATATTTTTTTGTCCTCTGCATTTTGTCTTCTGCATCATGTGTATTGCCATTTGTTTTCCTATGGAATTTAACGGATGATGTGTAAACCTGTTGATTGGGAGGCGACTCCACTTAACTAGTCTTCACCGTTGTTGATTAAGATTGATTAATGTGGATTGGTAGTAGTTCTAATAATTGTGAATTAGCCTAGACTGTCACAGTCCCTGTCAATGAGATCCACTTTTAATTATCAGCTCTTCACTGCAAGTGCTACAATCAATTAGATGTTATCACATGTTGATGTTAGACATTTATTGATGTTTTTGTTCCCTGTGTCTCAGGTTATGTATGGTAATCTTAGCTACTTTTTGTGTGTGTGTGTTGTAGGATGTCTATGATAAACTGGACTACCTGAGCTCCCTGGGGAAGACTCAGACAGCAGCAGTCCAGAGGGATGCAGACATCGGTGTGGCAGAGGCAGAAAGGGATGCTGGGATAAGAGTAAGATTCAATTCAATAAACTTTATTAATTCCAGAGGGGCAATTATTTCTGGGGCTCTGTTTGTCTGTATTAATGTACGTACGTTTCATTTTAGAGGTTTGTAAGCTAATTTTATGAATTTCCCCTTTTCCTCTCTCCTCATTCATTCACCCTCTCTCTCATGTACGTTATAATCTCTGTCCCTTTCTCTCTCTCTCTCTCTCTCTCTCTCTCTCTCTCTCTCTCGTACGCTCTTCTCTCTCTCATGTACCCTCTCTCTATCTCTCTCAATCCATCTGTCTCTCTCTGTCTCTCTCTGTCTATCTCTCTCTTTCTCTCCCTGTCTCTGTCTATCTCTCTCTCGTTGTCGTTCTCTCTCTCGCCAGGAAGCGGAGTGCAAGAAGGAGATGATGGATGTCAAGTTCCTGGCGGACACCAAGATGGCCGACTCCAAACGAGAACTTGAACTGCAGAAGGCTGCTTTCAACCAAGAAGTCAACACCAAGGTCTGCATGAACTCCATACTCCACTCTTGAATGCCAGTTAAATGTGCGGTAGAAATTCCAGTCTACAAAATTATTCTATGGTGTTTTTGGTCCATCGGTGTCTAAATTATCATTAGTCGTTAGTAATTTAGTAACCTCCCGAGTGGCGCAGTGGTCTGAGGCACTGCATCCAGACTCTGTCGTAGCCGGCCGCGACCGGGAGACCCATGGGGCGGCGCACAATTGGCCCAGTGTCATCCAGGGTAGGGGAGGGAATGGCTGGCAGGGATGTAGCTCAGTTGGTAGAGCATGGCGTTTGCAACGCCAGGGTTGTGGGTTCGATTCCCACGGGGGCCAGTATAAAAAAATTAAAGATGAATGTATGCACTCACTAACTGTAAGTCGCTCTGGATAAGAGCGTCTGCTAAATGACTTAAATGTAAATGGGACATCTTATGTGATCAGAGAGCCCAGAATGAACATTGAATATAGCCCCTATCATCCAAACGCTCCCTCCAGCCAACCTTAACATTAAAACTCCTCTATCAACATACAGTAGACGGCCAAGTCATGATCCTGTCTCTCTGTCTGTGTGCTTCAACATGGACGTCATGGTCATGTCTCTCTCTCTCTGTCTCCAGAAAGCGGAAGCCCAACTGGCCTATGAGCTGCAGGCAGCTAAAGAACAGCAGAAGATCAGGCTGGAGGAGATAGAGATTGAGGTGGTTCAAAGGAAGAAACAGATCACCATTGAGGAGAAGGAGATTGTCCGCACAGAGAAGGAGCTCATCGCCATGGTGAAGAGGCCTGCCGAGGCAGAGGCATACAAGATGCAGCAGCTGGCTGAGGGACAGAAGTAGTGACACCTTTTATATCATAACAGAACATATCCACAGTCCATTTCCCATTATATGCTTACCTAGCTGTAACATACAAACTATGTTGTTCACAAGTGATTCCACTCAACTTTTGTGCATTGTCTTTTATCACAAAAACATTTTCTTATGAGTCTGGAATGCTTCAACAAATGTAGATTGGTAGCACTTCATATAAAAGTGCAGAAATGACCCCGGTATTTACTAAGAAGTGATCAGGTAAAATGGTAATTACACAATAATAGCATATTAATTACATAAAAATTGTTGTTTGTTTCTTTTGGAAATGAGCGGATACTTCTTGTTTCTTTCGGAAATCAATCTTGTTTGCCATTTGTTCTGATACGAGTGTGTTTTGTCTTTCAGGATGAAGAAGGTTCTGACGGCCCAGGCGGAGGCAGAGAAGATCCGGAGGATAGGCGAGGCAGAGGCCGGCTCGATAGAGGCTATAGGGAAGGCTGAGGCTGAGAAGATGAGGCTGAAGGCTGAGGCCTACCAGCAGTATGGAGAGGCAGCCAAGACTGCTCTGGTCCTGGAGGCCCTGCCAAAGGTAACACACTATGGAATTAAGTCACATAAGTCATATTGTGTTTATAGTTTTTAAATGCAGTGTATCCACACGTGTGTTTGAATTGTTTAGATTTGATCAAATTAAATCACTACTGCATTGACGAGCCCTTCATACAGATGTGTTCATATTGAGGTAGTAATGTGTAGATTTACTGTAGACACCAGTGTTGTAGTACTCGAGACCGGTCTCAAGACCATATATTGAGTGTCTCGGTCTTGTCTCAGTGTCAGATAGATTTGTACTCGGTCTTGACTCGGTCTTGGACAATGAGGACTTCCCGAGACCAGCAGAGTAAAAACTCATAATTATCAGCTTCCATTCAGTCAGCACATAAAACCGCTTCGCCTGGCCAAAAGTTTAGTCCGAAGTGTTGGTTAGTAGGCTATTTGTGATGCGCATTGTCATCGTGCACTGTTTGCATCAGGGGCGTAGACATGTATGGGCCTGGGTGGACAGAGGCCCACCAACTGGGGAGACAGGCCCTGACAGGCCCACCCAATCAGCTTAATGTGGTTTAAGCATTGTTGTGGACTTAGACCATCACATTTTTGTCCTTTTTCTATAAAAAAAAAAGTTTGATTTTGAGAGTGAACATCTGAATAATCTATAGGAAAAAACATAGGAAAACATAGGATTTTTCACACAGGGTGCCTTTCCTTCGCTGGGTGGGCCGGTTGCGAACTTCTTGGCAAAATTAGAGTATACCCACTTCTCCAGGCACCAATACACCACTGCATAGGGCCGATGGAAAGACAGCAGTCACACACAGCATGATGTTAAAGCATAAGCAGTCCATAAACTCAGACACAAGCCAGCAGGTCCCAATCATAAGAATACAAAAACAACCATTAAGCATTTCCCAATCGAAATGTACAACTATTACTTCCCATTGCAAAAAACATTTCACATTTAGCACACAAAGTAACCAGTGACCTAAAGTTTAAAGCAGAACTGACAGTGTTTTAACAACTTTGCAGATATGAAACAGACAATCATAATATTAGTCCAAAAGGTTATATTCTACTCAACATTCCATGACGTACACTAAGGCATTGTTGGCATAATAGATGGATGAAGTTCAGTGCATGATTTAATATAATTCACCAATACATGTCTTGGTAGTCCAAAAAATATTGTTCTCAGGTTGTAAATCACAGTTGGCCTGGTACATTGTTTGCTGCCTCCATTCGGGATGCACTGTTTCAGTTTCAATGACTCAATATTCTGGACAACAACAGACGAGTGTAACTAAGGCTGGGAATGTAAATATAATCAAACTAGCAAGGGCAATGATCACAAGTCAGTCATAATGTGGCAAATAGGCTAGCATATCTATGTAGCAAGCTAAAAACACAGAGCCTAATGTTAGTTAGCTAGCTGCAAGGAGGATGTCATGCCATTGGAGGAGTGGGAGTGACTGACTTTTTCCCCTCATCGTTTTTTGGTGGCTATACACTGCTAGAGATGCAGGTGTAATTTGGTTAGCTAGCAAAAACTTGAACGACTGTTATCCAGTTAGCATATCTCTTGCGTTGGGAAATTCACTCTGGCTATCTACTCCGATTTCAGAGCACTCTCGTCTGAGTGTGCCAGAGGCCCATTGTTCCCCACTGTGTTTGGGTTAGTAATCATTTCTAGAGTGGCTCTATTTTCCCCTAGCATGCATTTTTTCACTATTCTGAATGTCTAAAGAATCCATATGTTGTTCTGAAATATGAACACGGAAATACTGGACATTTTGAACTCTTATGGTGGTGATTTGACAAAATTACAATCATGGTCTTGAATTGGACTCACATTTTTCTGGTCTCGGTCTCCCGGTCTCAGTCTTGACTCAGTCTCCAGTCTCGCTTTAGGTGGTCTCGAACCAACACTGGTTGACACACTCATTAACATGCCCCCAGATAAACCTAGTCACATTGATACTAATAAAGCAGTAATAAACAGTTAATCTAGTCACAGTAATAATGACAAGCCAGTGTTTGACATTCATTTGTTTCTTTCTTTTTGACTGGACAAAGTACAGTAGTATCAGTCATAACACACCAGTAGTTATCTACAGTATCTTTGTCAGCCAGTGTTAGAGTTGGTAGCCTACAGTGAGGGAAAAAAGTATTTGATCCCCTGCTGATTTTGTACGTTTGCCCACTGACAAAGAAATGATCAGTCTATAATTTTAATGGTAGGTTTATTTGAACAGTGAGAGACAGAATAACAACAAAAAAATCCAGAAAAATACATGTTATAAATTGATTTGCATTTTAATGAGGGAAATAAGTATTTGACCCCCTCTCAATCAGAAAGATTTCTGGCTCCCAGGTGTCTTTTATACAGGTAACGAGCTGAGGTTAGGAGCACACTCTTAAAGGGGAGTGCTCCTAATCTCAGCTTGTTACCTGTATGAAAGACACCTGTCCACAGAAGCAATCAATCAATCAGATTCCAAACTCTCCACCATGGCCAAGACCAAAGAGTTCTCCAAGGATGTAAGTGACAAGATCGTAGACCTACACAAGGCTGGATTGGGCTACAAGACCATCGCCAAGCAGCTTGGTGAGAAGGTGACAACAGTTGGTGCGATTATTCGCAAATGGAAGAAACGCAAAATAACTGTCAATCTCCCTCGGCCTGGGGCTCCATGCAAGATCTCACCTCGTGGAGTTGCAATGATCATGAGAACGGTGAGGAATCAGCCCAGAACATCACGGGAGGATCTTGTCAATGATCTCAAGGCAGCTGGGACCATAGTCACCAAGAAAACATTTACATCATTTAGCAGACACTTTTATCCAGAGCGACTTACAAATTGGTAACAATTGGCAACACACTACGCCGTGAAGAACTGAAATCCTGCAGCGCCCGCAAGGTCCCCCTGCTCAAGAAAGCACATATACAGGGCCGTCTGAAGTTTGCCAATGAACATCTGAATGATTCAGAGGAGAACTGGGTGAAAGTGTTGTGGTCAGATGAGACCAAAATCGAGCTCTTTGGCATCAACTCAACTCGCCGTGTTTGGAGGAGGAGGAATGCTGCCTATGACCCCAAGAACACCATCCCCACCGTCAAACATGGAGGTGGAAACATTATGCTTTGAGGGTGTTTTTCTGCTAAGGGGACATGAGAACTTCACCGCATCAAAGGGACGATGGACAGGGCCATGTACCGTCAAATCTTGGGTGAGAACCTCCTTCCCTCAGCCAGGGCATTGAAAATGGGTCGTGGATGGGTATTCCAGCATGACAATGACCCAAAACACACGGCCAAGGCAACAAAGGAGTGGCTCAAGAAGAAGCACATTAAGGTCCTGGAGTGGCCTAGCCAGTCTCCAGACCTTAATCCCATAGAAAAGCTGTGGAGGGAGCTGCATGTTCGAGTTGCCAAACGTCAGCCTCGAAACCTTAATGACTTGGAGAAGATCTGCAAAGAGGAGTAGAACAAAATCCCTCCTGAGATGTGTGCAAACCTGGTGGCCAACTACAAGAAACGTCTGACCTCTGTGATTGCCAACAAGGGTTTTGCCACCAAGTACTAAGTCATGTTTTGCAGAGGGGTCAAATACTTATTTCCCTAATTAAAATGCAAATCAATTTATAATGTTTTTGACATGTGTTTTTCTGGATTTTTTTGTTGTTATTCTGTCTCTCACTGTTCAAATAAACCTACCATTAAAATTATAGACTGATCATGTCTTTGTCAGTGGGCAAACGTACAAAATCAGCAGGGGATCAAATACTTTTTTCCCTCACTGTACATGTACAAGTGGCAGATTACACCATCTTAAAGTGACTCACAAGTCAGATGATTTGTTCAACCGGAGGTTTACATCAGTTGATGTAATATGACATCATATACCATAAACGTGTCTTGTGATGTGAGCACAATTTTTTTTTAAACATCTCAATGTGCCCGTGTCTTCCTAGATTGCAGCCAAGGTGGCGGCGCCGCTGGCCAGGACCAATGAGATAGTCATACTGAGCGGGGAGGGTAACCGTGTGACTGGGGAAGTGAATCGCCTCCTGGCTGAACTTCCTGTGTCCGTCAACGCCCTCACTGGAATTGACCTATCAAAGGTAATTAGGGGCATGGTCTTTGGTGAAAATGGTATGGTAGGTAAAACATAGATTAGTGTGTCCATAGAAATGGAATTACACTCAATATTGCTGCCAGATGGGCCACCCATCATGGAACGTTGACTTGAGTAGAGTGGTAATGTCTGTTCTAGTAATTATAATTCTATGAATTAGCCAATATGTTGCATAGAATCCTATTGGTGCTGCTGGAATTTAACAGCCTACATGACATTTTTCAGAAATAGTGAAATGAAACCTTAGCATACAATATCTCTTTCTAGCTTAAATTGAATTGTTTTTGTTTCCTATTCAACAGATCCCACTACTGCAGAAGATGACCTATGCTCAGGCCTGAAAACAATCTCTCCCTTCTTCTTCCGATATCTGTTTTATGCACTCTCATAGACTGCCTTCAATACACTTGAAATTATTATTATATTTACACTACCAGTCAAAAGTTTGGACACACCTACTCATTCAAGGGTTTTTCTTTATTTTTACTATTTTTTACATTGTATAATAATAGTGAAGAGTTCAAAACTATGAAATAACACATGGAATCATGTAGTAACCAAAAAAGTGTTAAACAAATCAAAATACATTTTATGTTTGAGATTCTTCAAATAGCCACCCTTTGCCTTGATGACAGCTTTGCACACTAGTGGCATTCTCTCAACCAGCTTCATGAAGTAGTCACCTGGAATGCATTTCAATTAACAGGTGTGCCTTCTTAAAAGTTAACTTCTTAATGGTTTTGAGCCAATCAGTTGTATTGGGACAAGGGAGGGGGGGTATACAGAAGATATACCTATTTGGTAAAAGACCAAGTCCATATTATGGCAAGAAAAGCTCAAATAAGCAAAGAGAAACGACAGTCCATCATTACTTTAAGACGTGAAGGTCAGTCAATCCGGAAAATGTCAAAAACGTGCAGTCGCAAAAAACATCAAGCGCTATAATGAAACTGGCTCTCATGAGGACTGCCACAGGAATGGAAGACCCAGAGTTACCTCTGCTGCAGAGGATAAGTTCATTAGAGTTACCAGCCTCAGAAATTGCAGCCCAAATAACTGCTTCACAGAGTTCAAGTAAAAGACACATCTCAACATCAACTGTTCAGAGGAGACTGTGTGAATCAGGCCTTCATGGTCGAATTGCTGCAAAGAAACCACTACTAATGGACACCAATTAGAAGAAGAGACTTGCTTGGGGCAAGAAACACGAGCAATGGACATTAGACCGGTGGAGATTTTTAGTTCCAACCTCCGTGTCTTTGTGAGACGCGGTGTAGGTGAACGGATGATCTCCGCATGTGTAGTTCCCACCATAAAGCATGGAGGAGGGGGTGTTATGGTGTGGGGGTGCTTTGCTGGTGACACTGTCTGATTTATTTAGAATTCAAGGCACACTTAGCCAGCAGGGCTACCACAGCATTCTGCAGCGATACACCATCCCATCTGGTTTGGGCTTAGTGGGACTATCATTTGTTTTTCAACAGGACAATGACCCAACACACCTCCAGGCTGTGTAAGTGCTATTTTACCAAGAAGGAGAGAGATGGAGTGCTGCATCAGATGACCTGGCCTCCACAATCCCCCGACCTCAACCCAATTGAGATGGTTTGGGATGAGTCGGACGGCAGAGTGAAGGAAAAGCATTCAGCAAATGCTCAGCAGATGTGGGAACTCCTTCAAGACTGTTGGAAAAACATTCCAGGTGAAGCTCGTTGAGAGAATGCAAAGAGTGTGCAAAGCTGTCATCAAGGCAAAGGGTGGTTATTTGAAGAATCTCAAATCTCAAATATATGTTTATTTGTTTAACACTTTTTGGGTTACTACATGATTCCATATGTGTTATTTCATAGTTTTGATGTCTTCACTATTGTTATACAATGTATAAAATAGTAAAAAATAAAGAAAAACACGAATGAATAGGTGTGTCCAGACTTTTGACTGGTACTGTATATTTTCTTTTTTATATGAACAAGTGGATTTTTTTAAACCTCTGGTGCCTTAATTTCTACAGGACCAGAATATCTGCATGTACTGCTGCTCCTTTATATACTCTATGTATCTTTGAGTTCACTACTTTTTGAATCATGGAAGTTTTTTATAATAAGTAGATCACATGGAATGCATTGTTATCATTTAGCATGAACTGAGCCTTTTTTTGTTTTACTCATATACCTCTCTAGTCTACCTTACCATTTAATGTCAGTGAACAGTTAGCTGTCAAGAAGAGCAACCTCAGTGATTTTCTTCCAAAGTTGTACTCACCTCTACCTTGCCTATTATACACTTAATGATTACTCAGTAATGATATATTCTTGCTATCATGTGACTATTGTATAGGTTATGGAAGGTCCTGTGCTCTAATGTATATAACCTTTCATTTAACTGATTTCATTTGTGTCCTTTATGATGAGTTATAGGTTTTCACAATCAGGTGACAAGTTGTATCAAGTGCTACATGAAACAAGGTGCTCACTGCCTACTATCCTCAAATTTATTTACGCTTCTACTCAACAAGAAATCATGTGTTTTCATTTAGTTTTATGTTGTAAACATTATGTTTAGTATATTATTCCAAACATACTTTCATTTATAGCAACAAGAATGGCCTTTTTTACTAATCACAGAAACCTGATTGTCAGACCTTTATTTCTTTGGCTACGATGCATCTTTCTGAATTGGCTTAAAGTAAGTTTGAGGGAGAGATTATGAACTTTGTGGGATGCTATGATGCAGGGTAATTTGTCCTGGAGAAAGTTCAGTATGTGAAATATTGAAGGGTTTTTGAGTCCAAGAAGAAGTAAAATGTCGTAACTCATAGCCAAACACTAGTCATTATATAATAATAATAATAATAATAATATGCCATTTAGCAGACGCTTTTATCCAAAGCGACTTACAGTCATGCGTGCATACATTTTTTTTGTGTATGGGTGGTCCCGGGGATCGAACCCACTACCTTGGCGTTACAAGCGCCGTGCTCTACCAGCTGAGCTACAGAGGACCATTACACCTTATAATTTTTATTATACAGGAATTAATATTTTAAATAAATATGAGCTGGGATATGTTTAAGAAGTGATTTTGTTCATTCTGTTTTCTTAATTTCATGTTGTTTCATTTGATTAGTATGACTTGATTATAACATTGACAGACACTTTTTTTATGATTGTAGTTTTATATAGTAATATAAGTCAATTCTAAGCCATGTAACACAGCCCTTCAGGTTCTGTCCACAATGTAATCTTTGCTAAAGATAACTCTGTATATCATACACTTGTGTCAGAGAAAGATATCACTCCTGTTCAGACAATGCTGTTCAATGTATTTAGTAATTTATCTAGCTTTTAATGATATATAATTGTGAAAATGGGTATATGTGCTATTACACTACACTATTGTCATTCCACATTACCTCCATATTTATGATCTGTTTGTTGAGCTCATTCCAAGACGGATATTTACAATCGGATTATATTGGCTTTTTGTTTTATTGTGGTTAGTCATAGTAGAGGTAGAATACTAAATTTCTGCTTGTTGTTTAGTATCACTATTTACGTTGTAATCTTAACCAAGGTGGAGAGTAGCCCTTTGTACAAGGATAGGGAAATGGCAAATCTTCTTGTTCATTTTTCATATATATGTGGATGCCATCATCACTAATTTTGTGACTTGCACTATTCAACATAAGATCATGGGAAATGGCAAACCAAGATGGGAAAAGTCCAGCTATCATGTAAGTGGACAGATTATAATTTGCTCAGTGCTTTTTTTGTAAAGAATATCAGGACTCAAATAATGTTTGAATTGGAAAAATGTTTAATCGTCCTTTCCCCCTCCCAGACATATCGTAATGTTCTTTGTAATAAGTAAAATGAAAACGACTACTATGAAGGACTGTTAAACTGTTGTGTATTTTTTGCTGCCCTCATTGATTTGACTCCACTTCATTGTAAGCTGAGTAATTTTGCTAATACTGTGAAAATGTTTGTTGTGTAGCAGCTCTAATTTAGATTTTGTAGTTACATTGTGGCTTCACGACCAAATGCATTGTTCTGGCTAAGCATACAATGTATAGACAAACCACTAAAGATACAGTATGTTTGATACAGAGGTCCTTCGGAAATGTGTTTTGTCATTTTTGTGTGAAAATAATCATCACTTTACTGTTATGTGTCAAATCTAGAGATAATCATGCACAGTGCATGCACTCATGCCACCAGTTGTGTTAATGCAGATGTTTGTTTTTTTTCTCAACAGGACACAAGTGATCCTACATATTATTTGTGAATGTTATCCATCTGTAACATTATATAATATTACCATATTTGTCTTCATCTGTCACTAATAAAATGACAACAGATAGTTGTGCTCTTTTTCTAATGGCAATTTTATAATTCAATAGACAACAGGGTGGGTGTACAGCATAGATATTGATATATGGTCTGGGGTGGACAGTATGATCAAAGCTAGCTGCAACATTCATGGCATGTAAAACCAGTAAGTCTTGCTAGAATGCAATACTTTAACTTGAGCCAAGGCCTGTCACTCATTCATTAAATCAATCCTTATCATAAATCGTTTTTAAAACATCTTGCAGGAAGAATCTCAGCAGTTCCATCTCTCATAGTTATCGCCAAGGAATGTTAGTCAGGCATTGGGTGTGCACACCTAAATATGCGGAATAAAGGTCCTAGAACTGAGTGCCTACTGCGCATGCGTTCTCAAAGTTTCTGTTGCAGAAGGCAAGCAGCAGAGAAGCATCGGTGAGCTAACACAATACTATCGATGTTCGATCATCACGCTAAAATGATGTTTTCGCAAATGCCTTTCTCTTGATTTCGCTGGGAGAAAGTATTGTGCGTATTATGTGTTTTCAGCGTTTCCATTTGCAATATGTTTACTTCAGTAACGTTAGTTATCAGATGCCGGTTATGATAGCTGGCGAACGTTAGCTAGTCAGCCTAGCTGATCGCTAGCAGCACAAAGAAGAGTTCAATGCTTTGTGGTTCTATGATTCGAGGTATTTAACACTAGCTTGTTAGCATTCATCATCGCTAACTACATGGCTTGCTTCTTTATTAACCGACTAACTTAGCTAGTTTCCTTCTCGTGTAACAGTAGCCTAAGTAACGTTACTGATTCGAACTACAATGCCAGTGTTATACAGTATGTTATAAAAAATATATACTTTTTGGCACGCTAATATTGTCAGTAGCTAATTTACATTTTAAGTGGTCTATTGACTACAATGCTGCTCAACGATGACACCAGCTAGTTAGTATTTAAGAATTATCTTTGTCCATAACTAGTTAGATTAATGTCCTGGCATTCTAGATCAGAGAAGCCCTACCCTACCCAGGCCAGAGCCACGTTAAATGACTGTTATTGATATCAGACTGTCTGAGTATATTTATTGTAACTAGTAGCTCCATCATTTTCAAGAACTGGTCAACTGGACACACTAACCAGCTACAGTGTAAGACCTAGCATGCTTGAGTCATTTGGACTTCTGGAGTCTGACACATTTAGCTTTGTTCCAGAACTGAAACGGGTTCTGGGTTACATCAAAGCACCATTACATACTTAACACAAAGCTGTTCTGCATCTCTTAGTATTGTAAAGTATTTACATTTTTGTAATTTAGCAGACGCTCTTATCTAGAGCAACTTAGTAGTGAGTGTCCTTGTTCCCATCCTAGGGGACACTTCACAGAAGATGAGATCTGCAAACTATCCAACCCCAGCAGAATTAGATGCCTTTGCTAAGAAAGTTGCCAACAAGCCTCTGACCATAAAGATCTTCCCCAACAGTGTCAAAGTACCTCAGAGGAAGCACATCCGCCGCACGGTGAACGGGTTGGACACGTCCAGCTCCAGCCAGCGCCACAGCCCCTACCCGTCTCAGGTCAGCAGCACCAGAGCGGGCCTCCTGGCCGTCCTCCGCACTTCGACCAGCAAAGGCGTCCTCAAAGACACGGACGGCAGCCGAGCCCGTCTGCTTCCCAAAGCAGCCATGAACCTCCACATTGGGCCGTACGTCGCTCAGAGCACTTTAAACCTCCCCCAGCCTGTCCCCCACATCCAGAGCATGTCTCAAACCCATCCCCAGGCATTGGCCCAGAAACCGTGCCTCCCCCACCCACATCCACAGCATGCTCTACAGCAGCAGCAGCACAACATGGCTCACTCCATGACTTCACAGCCACAGAATATGCCTCAACCTCACCCTCAAACTTTACAGCAACAGAATATTGCCCACCCTCAAACTTTACAGCGGCAACAAAGCTTGTCCAAGTTGCAAACTGTACAGCAGCAACAGCAGAATATGGCGCAACCGCAGAATATCCAGCGGCAGCAGAGTTTGCCTCACACGCAGACTTTACAACAGCAGCAGCAGCTAAATCAGTCTCGGCCACAAACCTTGCAGCAGCAGCAACAACAGCAGCATCTTCCTCATCCTCAGACGCTGCAGCACCAGACTCTTTCTCACCAACAAGCTTTACTACAGCAGGCTCAGGATCAAGGTCTCCGGCACCTGCCTGATGTAGCCCAGGCCCAGCATCCACCTAGTCTGCAGCACCCCCAGAGCCTGCCCCTGTCACAACCTCTCCCCCAGGGCCTCCGACACCTGCCTGATGTGGCCCAGGCCCAGCCACCCAGTCTGCAACATTCCCAGGGCCTCCCCGCATCTCAGACATTCCCCCAGGCCTCCGGTGCCAGCCCTGGCCCTCCCTCTGCTTCCAATGCCCTGCAGCCCCAGCCAGGCCCCCCCTACGGCCGCAGGAAGGTGCCAGATGCCGACATACAGATAAACCAGTTCTGCCAGGCTCGGGCCGGAATGGGCGCCACCTCGGTGTGCGAGGGCCAGATCGCCAACCACAGCCCCATCAGCCGTAACCACCTCATCAATGACAGCTCCAGGGTCAACACACCCCACAACCTGGGCCTCCTTCCCTCCTGCCTGCTGGGCCCCACAGAGAAGGCCCCTGGAGGGTCCCAAGGCCCTGCTGTTGGCCTACAGCCCAACATGGCTGTCATGAACAGGATGCCACCTACTTTCCACACTGACATGAAGCAGCAGTTACAGCAGCAGCAATTACAACAGGTTCACCAGCAACAACAACAGCATCAGTTACAGCAGCAACTCCAACAGCATCAATTCCAACAGCAGCACTCCTGGAACCAGCACCAGCTGGCTCACATGCAGCACCTGCCTGAGGGAACCAACCCCTGCAAGAACCCCAGGAGAGAAGCCCCCTCTGGGCCTGGCCTCCTCTGGGCCCTTAAACACGCATCAGACAAGACATCCCCCATGCCCTCCGTAACCGGCCTACCGGGTGGCACCATGCCCAGCTACACCAACGGGCACTACTTGCAGGGTCCATGGGGCAGCATCCTACAAGCAGCCAAAAGTGACGGTCTAGGCCCTCAGGATTTGCCAATGGCCTTCCAGGGGGGTCCATCAGGGGCCTCCATAGACTGCAGCACACCAGGATCCCAGTACCGACCAGGAGCCAGACCCGGGGTCCCAGGTCCGGGTCAGACCAAGTTGATGCAGCAGAACGTGTCTGATTACCTGGCTGGGGAGTTCCAGGCGTTCCAGCAGAACCCAGAAGCCATGGGGAAGATGCACAGGCCCCCCATGGGTAGAGCTCCAGCCCAGGGCCCAGAGCTAGGCAACGGTAGAAATATCCACGCTCACCACCCAGGCTATAGATAGATATATAGCAGTCTTCACCTCACCAGTTGTGTGTTATGGTTGGTGAATGATTCAATGTTACAATCAGGTGTCCACATGTTATAGAGATCTTGCAAGTGATCAATTGAATGTTCTCCCTAGTCGGTTGCTCCTGCTCTCAATGTTCAATCGCTGACTTATCTGTGTTTTAAAAGTAGGTCCTCAGCCCTTAAAAAGGTACAGTGGGGAAAAAAAGTATTTAGTCAGCCACCAATTGTGCGAGTTCTCCCACTTAAAAAATCACATTGTAGGATTTTTTTATGAATTTATTTGCAAATTATGGTGGAAAATAAGTATTTGGTCACCTACAAACAAGCAAGATTTCTGGCTCTCACAGACCTGTAACTTCTTCTTTAAGAGGCTCCTCTGTCCTCCACTCGTCACCTGTATTAATGGCACATGTTTGAACTTGTTATCAGTATAAAAGACACCTGTCCACAACCTCAAACAGTCACACTCCAAACTACACTATGGCCAAGACCAAAGAGCTGTCAAAGGACACCAGAAAAAACTAGTAAAAACTCAACTCGTCGTGTTTGGAGGACAAAGAATGCTGAGTTGCATCCAAAGAACACCATACCTACTGTGAAGCATGGGGGTGGAAACATCATGCTTTGGGGCTGTTTTTCTGCAAAGGGACCAGGACGACTGATCCGTGGAAAGGAAAGAATGAATGGGGCCATGTATCGTGAGATTTTGAGTGAAAACCTCCTTCCATCAGCAAGGGCATTGAAGATGAAACGTGGCTGGGTCTTTCAGCATGACAATGATCCCAAACACACCGCCCGGGCAACGAAGGAATGGCTTCGTAAGAAGCATTTCAAGGTCCTGGAGTGGCCTAGCCAGTCTCCAGATCTCAACCCCATAGAAAATCTTTGGAGGGAGTTGAAAGTCCCAAAACATCACTGCTCTAGAGGAGATCTGCATGGAGGAATGGGCCAAAATACCAGCAACAGTGTGTGAAAACCTTGTGAAGACTTACAGAAAACGTTTGACCTGTGTCATTGCCAACAAAGGGTATATAACAAAGTATTGAGAAACTTTTGTTATTTTACATTTACATTTACGTCATTTAGCAGACGCTCTTATCCAGAGCGACTTAAATAGTTATTGACCAAATACTTATTTTCCACCATAATTTGCAAATAAATTCTACAATGTGATTTTCTGGAGAGAAAAAATCTAATTTTGTCTGTCATAGTTGACGTGATGAAAATTACAGGCCTCTCTCCTTTTTAAGTGGGAGAAAAAAAAAACTTGCACAATTGGTGGCTGACTAAATACTTTTTTTCCCTTCTGTATCTGTTAATCCTTAGTGTCAGATTAAGGGTTATTCCAATGATGAGGAATACTTTCTCATACCACAACATGGACATCTGCTGCTTGTAGTATTTTCTGGCATACACTATTGTGATCTAGTGCTAGGTAGAGAACCTAGTAGGGCTACTTCCTGTCCACATAATAAGCACCATAGTTATGCCCAGGTTGTCATGGAACCAACCACTCCCTTTTACAACATTAGTGGCCTTAAAGCTGCCAATGCAGCAGCTGAAAAATGTGGTCTTCTTTCCTGTCCTATGTTTACATTTACAATTATGCATCTATAAAAATTACATAGACATGATGGAGGATACATGCTTGTTAATGCACCCAATGAGACTGTTGATTTGCTGAAGGGGTATCTTTGTATGCTAATATGAATCAGGTTAATGTCTGAGTATATTCTTACTTCAATCTCTCCCCATATACAGTAAGGTAATGCTACAGCCATTGTGTCCTGTCCTCTTGTGTGTTTGTGTGTGTGTGTGTGGTAAGACCTTAAGATGGAGTACTTTTGAAGTCGCTTTTTAATTGTTTTAGTTTAACCCTACTTTGTTCTGTTACTTTAATTTAATTGTCTCTACTTGAATTTGACCAGTGATGTTTTCAGTATGAGGATTGGAGAATCAAAATGTTATGCTAAACATTTACAAATGGAACAAAACATCACTTTGGGGAAAACATTAATTGTCTTTGAATAATGTGAACCCGGTAGGATCAATCCCCTGATCTTGAAAGAAATTGTCTTTGTGTGCAAAGACCAAATTGATCACTTGCAAGTACAACCGAACATACCAGAGGGTTAAAATGTTCTTTCTTTATTTGTTTCACCACTATACTACTGTAAACAAGTGAATCGATTCCTTGTGGATCTTTGCCTGTCTGTGGGGGTTGTGGTAAGCTGAGGGGTATCCTACGAAGAGGTTTGAAAAGTTAGCGAGGTAACTTTGGTCAACTGAGTCTTAACGAAAAGGTTGCATTCAACTAGCCATGTGCGACATGCACGTGCAGTTACAAGCCTGCTAGAGATAGCGGCAGGTGGACGAGCAATATCCACCGTTGTAGTACAGATAAAGCCTGAGCTGGAATGTGACGCTAATGGAAGCTGGTTCACTTTAGAAAACTGAGTAGATCTAGCTTGCTTCGTAGGATACCCCTCTTCCTTCACTTGCTAGCCTAACCCTGTGTATTGTCTCTGTACTACCTAGAAAGGAGAACTGAGGTTCAGTCCAGTTATTTTAAATGCAGGTTACCACCTCATGCTAGTAGATGGGTCTAACCATAGAAATATAATTACTTCTAAGTAATTATATTTCTATGGGTCTAGCATGCTGTGTTTTTCCTCCTCAGTTTAACTTGGGTAACGGCTTACTCTTGTGATGCCCCCTCATTCCTCCTCCCTGATAACTCTTGAAAAAAAGCCTTAAATGTTATTAGTTACCCTCTATACCATAAATGTTGTATGACTTTCTACACCATGCCGGATTTCCTCAAACAGTGCATGGTGTAGGATCCTATATCGAAAATAGTTATGATACTAGCAATTGTTTCTGCGTATGTTTTCATTTAAGGCCACTGTTAAATTGCTAATTAAAAATCCTCCTTTAAGGATAAGTATGATTAGTATTTAGCAGAGTTTTATAGGTGTGTGTGGCACTGGGCTGTAACTATGGTCTTCAGACTACGTTTCTTTAGTTGTTTCTACGTGACAAATACCCTACACTAATTTAGTTCTTAGCTAATTTATTTATTTGATTACTGCATCCTGAAGCCATAGGTTTTTCCTCATAGGTGCCATAGGTAACGCATATCATCAGACACAAAACAATACAAACTGACGTCTCACAACTAGCTGCATTTAGTAAGAGATGGAAAGGTTGTCATAGAAGTCATTTTATTTCTATGGGTTATGTAGCCTTAAAGGTGCTACACATAGGATTTGTAAAGAATTTTTGCATTGTCATTTCAGAAAATGGCCATAATATATCTGCAGTACTAGTGGAATGATAGTGTTTCACAGTATTACTTACCCGCCCGCCATGTTGTGATTAGCTGTGATATTCACCTATTGATTTCTCCCGCCGGAGCAGCATCTGTTGTCGAAATGGGAAAGCTGTTTTGACTTTGGCTGTGTGGAAATCGGGTCAAGCGGCCAATGTAAAAATTGCTCTTGTGTCCTGGTTGCTAAAATTCTACACGGTTCGCTCAATTTCAGTTTGTGAGAAAACAAGCACCGAATAGTGTAGGGAATCATTGCACCATCTAAATCGCTATGAAATATATTTTTCATAACAAAAAATATAAAGTTTTTACAGCTGTTTGAAGCTGGTGGACCAAAACCGAAAGTAAAATGCTCAAGCGTGAGTCTCCATGTTATAGGGAAATGGTATGCTGGGGGAGATGGTAGATTTTGTTTTGAGTGCAGCCCAGTGCTGTTGCAATTCACCTAGCTTCCACATAGGGGAGAAATTCTATGAGTAGCACCTTTTCATGTTAGGTTTGAGCTTTCTTCAATTACATTTCCATTTTAGTCATTTAGCAGACGCTCTTATCCAGAGCGACTTATGAGGGCAGTAGCTAGATTCTGTTGTTTGGCTCATACTACTGTTGTGTTCCTGATGTGCCTGGCCCTTGAAGCTGCTATTGAATTCCAGTCTGAACACACAATAGTTTGTGTGTGTGTGTGTGTGTATAGTAATGATGTATGGGTTGTACTATTGGAATAAAGGTTCCTATTTATACTGTGTTGTCATGGATTTTTGAAATGTGAGATGGTAAATCTTTGTAGTGGAAATGGACCAACTGTTGCTGCAGTAAACCAAGCAATGTACCTGTTGTTTCATTTGACCCGATTTACCTGTTCTATAATGTTGTACCGCCATATTACTGCCCGAGAAAGTCAGGTTTACAGTTACTTTCCATATTAAGCCCAGCGGGGGCACTTCATATATAATAGAATGTGTGTTTATGAGTGCGTGTGTGCGAGAGAAAGGGTGTGAAGCATAGCCTAGATACTTGCGCACACACGTGTGTACACTACACAGTGGTGCACTTCTATCCATTGTTGGGGGGACCAAGCTTCTAACTAACTACTGATACTGGACAGAAGTCTGCGCTTACGTACCACAATGATTCCAGACACTGTTGGGAGTCTGAACGGTTGCTGTTGAATCACTGACCATAGTCACCAAGTCCTCTCAATCATAACCACCATGGCCCAAAGCCTAGATACAGGCTGTTTCCGAAATGGCACCCTATCCGAAATGGACGCTAACATTCTTTAGCCATGTTGGTTTGTATTAATTTTAAAGACTCATGCTATTTTAAGGTGGTGACGAAAAAGTGGTCTGCTGCCCTCTAGACAGCATGTGGGACTGTGATGTATTAATTGTGATTGTGAGAGAATGTTTTTGCTCCACGTAAGTGGAAATATGACATGAATGGCAGTGGTTGGGGGAGCTCACGTTTCTCTACTTTGTAGAATTGTGTTATTCCAGTTTGCCTATCCTTCATGAACTATGCTTTGCACAAACATTCCCCCCTAACCAAAATAAAGTTTACGTTTGCAAAACCGATACCTTTTATTTCCCGTTTATTTTATTTGTAACAGCAAGGCTTGAGGAGATGTGTATGAAACAGGGAATTTGAAAAGTATATAAAAA